CCAGTTAAGCGGGACCGTGATGAAGCCTTGTGATTGCATACGGGGTACATGCTGACCACTGTTCCCTTGCTTCCCTTCCCTGGCTCCATACCTCTGCCGAATGTGGCGAGCTCACAGGTCCCTTTTTGCAGGGTGGCGGATCCAGCCGAGTGCCCAACACCCCCCCAAGGGCCGCCCAGGTGCAGCTGGCTCGGGGTGCTGCAGCTCCTCCGCGCCATGAGGTCGCGGCGTTTGGCGGCGGACGCGCTGACGCAGAGCGCGGCCATCGCCGCCTGCGCCGACGCGCGCCAAGGGAAGGCGACGTTGCTGGGGCTCCAGGAGATGGCCACCGCTTGGATGGCGCGCGTGAGAGGAAAAAGGAGGAGTCACGCGGCAGATGATGCGTTACGAGCTGGGTAGCCGTTTGATGAAGTTGGTTGGCATTTTGAGTGGTTTGGGCTTGTTTCTGGTTCTGGGCCAGAATTTTTGGGTGTCCCCACTGGGCAATGTGTTTGGCTTCATTTTTGTCCGAGCTCAGAGTTGACGAAGTGGCAGGTGCTTGAGCAGATTGAGCAGCGTGGCTGGAATTCCATGAAGTGGAAGGCACGCTGTGGATTCCGCGCTGGAAATCAGGTGTCGGGCCTCCCAACGCCGAAGCATGATCAGTTTGATTTTATGATTTTAGTCTCCAGGATCCGGGCGCCGCGAAGAGGAATCCTCCGTGACTAGATCCTGCATAGGGAGAGAACCACGCCTGCAGAAAGTTGGTCCCTTCATGCCAGAGTTGACCAAGTCCTTGGTTGCCCTCGAGCTATGTTAATCTTTTTAAAACTGAGTTTACCCCAAGGAGTCACCTCTCAAAGCCGATTTTGCTTGAAGGTAACTCATACTTAGGCCACTTCCCAAGAGGGTAAGTTTCAACCAACTGATTCTTCATGATGTTGCCTAACTATTGCACCTATTTCCCTGAATGATTGGTGGTTTGGTTGGGTGGTTTGCAGGTCAGGGGGTGGTTTGCAGGTCAGGGGGTGGTTTTCCATTCCATGATACCCTCAAAACCCTTGTGATTCAACCCTTGAATTGCACACCATCCATTTGCCAGGACGACTTCACCATGCTGCACTGGGCTGCCAGCCACGGCAAGAAGGACGACCGCTGCCCAAAGGGTGGTGATGTTTCCCTTTGGCTTGCCTTTGGTTTTCCTTTGGTGTCCATTTTAAGCAACAAGGAAAGGAGCCACAAAAGGATGTTTGGCGTGCATATCCATTTTCACCTATGGGCCTTTTGGGGCTCGGATCGGACATGGGCGGATGAGATCTAAATTTGAACCACAAAAATCATGGAGACAGGGTTGATCAATACTCCTGGCCCTCAAATGGGTAAGACTGAAAATTAAACCAATCAGCGGACCGGAAAGCCGTTTTGGGTGCCCATTTTTACCCTAACCTTTCCAATTTCGTGGGCACGCTATCCTTTTGGGTGGTTCTGCTCTTTGGTCAAGGACCCCTAGCTGTCCATGCCCACAAAACAGTACCCCAGCACTTGAGGATAGAACCAATCTGAGTAGGTCGTCCCGTTTTTGAGTTGGGGATATCCTTCACATTGAGCAGAGGCCCAGCGCCGCAAACTGGTGGAAATGGATTTGTTGTAAAGCTGAAATCAGTATTTTTATCCATATTAGTGGAACCAAAGTCGCCAGGTTTTGCGCGCTGCTCACATCAAGCCTGGTCTCAAGAACCTACCAGTACGGCGGTGACAGCAAAGCCTTGGGCAATGTCGATTGCGCTGCACTGTTGCGCTGCACGCTACAAAGCAGGCAAAACGAAGGGCACTTCAACGGACATCACGCTGCACCATCTTTTGTTTCCAACCTTCATGCGTGCAACGCCCTGCAGCTCCAGTGCCCATGATGTGCCTCACCAAGGGCGCAAGACGACCCACAGGCAGACTCGTCGGCTTTCTGGCCATGGAACCAAACAAGCATTGTGCGCACAAGCAAGCCTGGTTAAAGCCGTCACCACGCGCAAAGCCCAAACAGAGGCAGAGGGAAAGCCGGGTGCTCCATGATGACAGCAGCTCCACTACCAAGAAGAGCCCAAACAAAGGAAAGCGCAAGCTGCACAAGAGCAGTGTCAACAACAACCTCTTTACTAGCTTTTACTCCCCCCCCTTGATGCTCCAAGGCGCTTCAGCAGACCTTAAAGGCTAAGTCCTGCGGCGGGCCAAAGAGTGCCGCCCAAATCGTCCCATCAGACGGCCACTGGCGCCACTGCCTTGCCTGTCGGGGGTGCGCAAGATCGACGTCTTGGGACACGCAAGCGTCCACGCTCAGCACGAACAACTCAAAGTCGCACGACCAACATGTCACAGAACCACCGAACCAACATCGTACTGACGCCAGTGCCCAGAGAAAATGTGGACAACAACGCCAACCCTCCGCCGAATATAGCAAGGGCGTCAACACCAAGACTACTCGGGTCAAACCTGCCAAGCTCCCCGCATTGCGAGCCGCAGGGCTTGAAAAGAGCAAAGGGCGCTTCCAAGCCTTGTCCAGCCTGTCTGGTCTCCTTTGACATGCCGAGTAGCACCTCATCGCTCCCACCTCCGGACACGCAGGTGTCGACAGTGCGACCTCGAGTCCTCTGCCTTGGAGCAAGCCTCCTTTCTTCTCTGCGCAGCGCGGGCCATGGTTGCAAAGTGCGTAGAGTCGACAGGGGGGAGACCGGAAGGCCCCGCAACTTGCACAGAACAAAGCCTCCAGCCTTCCTGTTTTGCTGCGCTGCTGAACGTGATCTTGCACAAGCCATTCTTACAACGTGTCAGAGGCGATCATTGGAGCCTGCGATCAACGCAGTCTTTCGGTACCTTTGAAATCGAGCTCATGTCGGTTCAGCTCCTTGTCGGCGCAGCGCGGTAGCCATGGCATATTCTGGGTTCGCATCCACCCTCCGTCAATCATGCGTACCTGACTTGTTATTGGGTGGGCCATCTCGGTTTTCGAAATCTCGCGTTCGTGATCATGCTGCCGGCGTCGTTGTCGCAAGCCCAAGATCGAAGGCGCGCGCGATTGCGTGTGTTGATCTGGCATTTTGGGGTTTCTGACCTGTTGCCCGAAGGCGTGCTGTGGAATTGTTCGTTGAGCTGCAAGCACTTGTCGCCAAGGTGTCAGGGACCAGGCGGTCTTGGCAGCCAAGCGCGATGAGCCGCCCCGCAGCCAATCATGGAGACGCATTCGTCTCAACCCTCTGTGCCTTGAGAGTATGCAGAATGAGGGGGCGATTCGTGATCAAACTATTCCACGGCGGTTTGCGCCCCGTGATGTTCGTCTCTACATGCCCTTGATGAGAGAGGCCTTGTGGACGCCCTAGCCTTCTTCGGTGGCTATGTCCCTGTTCTTGGATCATCGTAAGCAATGTCTCAGAATGTCTGACGCAGTGCCAGGAGGCAAAGTCAAAGTCAAAAAGGGAGGGTGCTCACATGAGCAAGTCGCACTGTCACAGGTAGTCGACTGTTGGTTGAGGAAGACGCGGAGGTTTCCTCTGGCACCAGCCACGGTGAGTCATAAGTCCGCGAAATTGCCCGAAATCCAGGACTTGTGCGTTTACCTGATCAGCCAGCAGGCGGATCCCGACGCCAAGGACAACAAGGCGCGAACGTTCTTTCGAAGAGGCACGGATTGGCTCGCCCGCTTCAAAGTGGGTTTGCAGGGAAGAACCAAAACCATGTATTTGGTTGGTTGCCTCAATCAAACATGACAAGCCCATGTCAATGAGCACACAAAACACGCATGGGCCGTTTTAGTAGGCGATTCTACTACCTGGTTTCCATAAATCCTACAAGTGAACTCAGGTTTCGGGTGCTGCTCGTGCGCCACCAGTCTCTAAAAGTCGCAAAGCCAGGGCCGGACACCCGTGAACGTGGCTTCGGACGCGAAGCACTTTGATGTGGTGGCGGCCCTGCAATCCAAGGCGCAGCATCCTTCCCGTAACCCTCGTTGGAGTGTTTTGGAGGGAAACGACAGGAAAACCACAATTTTAGAGGTCACCTGTTTGAAGACACACCAACGTGAGCAAGGGACAATATAGCATACTGTTGGTTTAGGACACCGGGGAACCAAATTACAGCTGGGACAATCGGGACAGTGGTTTGATATCAGGCGGCGGTGCAAAGGCAATCAGTGAGCCATTTGGCGTTTGCATCCGCCACTGAGTGAGTTCGCCCTCAAAGCAAGGGCAGAGTTTGGCCAGCACCTGGTTCAAGGGAAAGCACTCAAGAACCCCTAACCGTCGCAATGTTCGACATGGGCCCAAAACACTGGGGGGACCAGGCGCGTGTAGAAAAAAATAGAGTGTCGCCTTGCAGTGTTGGCACTGCAGCAATCTGGGAGTGTTGGCTCCTGGTTGCCATGGGAAGGATTGATTTGCTGGTGGGGCTTGGACCACTGCGCATGGGATCTGGAATCGGGAGCCTCCGCAGCGGCTTCCACGGCTTTCAGAAAGTTGGCAGCTCGCTGGAAGTTCGGGGAGTGTATTGCAGAGACGACCTGAAGTCAATGAGAAGACACTGCTCCTCACCGGGGTTGTTTCATGCTGCGCCGTTTGCTCAGAATATTCATGGCCTTGATTTTATCCAGATCCCGGGTGACACTGGTCTTTGTCCCACTCGCCACTTGCGGACAACGCTGAGTCAATGTCTTAAGCGCAATCGAAAAGGACCGAGCACTTGCGGACAGGGCTTTGGAAGCAGTATCCTGTGCGTCCTCGTTCGAGTTCGGCCAACAAAACCTGCCGTTTCTGGTCCTTTTCCGGAGGGACATGGGGTTCATTTGCCAAGTTTCGCACCAGGGAGTGCACGGCCAAAAAGAAAACATATGCCGGGAGTCTTCTTCTAAGACAGCATGGTGAAGATCATTGGGCCTCCAAAGATGTGGGGCTTGAAGGAATCCTATGCCAAACTTATCCTCAAACAGCCAAAGGGACAAGCCTTTTGCGTGCCATCCTCCAACAATTCCACATATTTTGATTTGCAGACCCGAGCTTGTTGCTCGTTCCGCTGCTGCATAGACTCAATCCGTACAAAACGGAGGCGATGGGTAGCCAAAGAGGCCGGAACCCTCGAGCGCTTCACTTGTACTGTAACCGGCTTAAGGGGTTTTTGAACCGGGTGTGTGCTCCCCGAAGGGCACCCCTTTTGAGATTGGTCACCAAAAGGAAGCCACAATTTCTGGGGTCCCCTTTTCTGGACATCCCAAATTAGACTTTGGGAGTCGCTTGTAGAGGAGTTCATTATGCCAGCACCAGATTGGCGGTTCCCTAGTACATTTGGGAGAGACCGGGGGACGAGCTCTAAGTTTCACACAAGCCAGTCACTAATTTTTGCATGGTCATTCCAGTAACCACGTATTTGGACTGTGACTCCTTCTTTCACGCTTTGGTCAAAGCGTGCCTGAAATGAGTGCAGTCAATTTTGCCATTTCCAGGGCTTCCGATTCGTTTCATGAAGCGGCAACAGAATTCGCCAATCTCGAGCAGGAGATCAACGCCCTTTTTGGAGCTTCCAAAGGGATATCAACACCTGGCTGTGGCTCAAAAAACTGGTACCAAAATGGAACCCTGGTAAGTGGAAATATTGACCAAAACCTGCGGTTTGCCCCTCCTCTTTAATTTTGAGCCACACCCACCTTTCAACCCCCCTAACGAAAACGGAAACCGGCTCAGGCTCGGCTTCTCAGCCAGCGCTGCCCTCCGTGAGCAGCGTCCAGCCCTTGAGGCGCAGTGTTTTTTTTTTTCCCCCCCGAAAGCTTTCGGGGGTTTCACCCGTTGTTTGAAGTAAGGGTGGAGCCGATTTGGATGACCCATCCTTGGAGCAATTCTGGTTGTTCACCCATCCTTGGAGCAATTCTGGTTGTTCAACCTACCCATGTGGTCAAATCAGAGGGCGCTGGGGTTTGGTCAAGGTTGGGAGGGGACAAAAACCAGACACGTCCTCTGGGGGAAACACGCATTTTGTTTCGGCCGTGGCTGAAATCACAGAGGCTGTATAGGGGTTTGGCCTCAAAATGCCAACAGGTATGGTTTCCACTTTCCCAAACCACCAAGACCCAGGTGGGGGGGTGGGGGGTGGGGGGAGCTTTTCAAGCAACCCTCATGGGTAAAGAACACAAGTCCAACCACATAAATGATGTCGACCAAAGGGTATATACATATATTTATCTATATGTATGGTTTCCCCATATCCCGAAATGACAACGGGGACCCAACTTGACCCAACTGTTCTTTGTTTAGTGGCTGTAAATCCCTTGAACTCCCTTGGTTGTTTGAGGGGGAGGGATGGGAAGCATCTTGGATCACACTACACTGGATTGTTTCCTGTACGACCTCTTGCTGCTGCACAAGAGCCACAATCAAACCAGGGCGGTGGAGATTAGTAGACAGGCCCAAAGAGGTGGTTTCCCTTTGAGTTCCGCTTTAACCCGCCCAAACATGGGTGCCCTCAAACAAAGAAACCCACCCAAACAAAGGGGTTGTGAATACAGCCTCTGAGAAGACTGAGCAGGGAGTTGCAGATAGAGGATTTTTCTGTACATGCATGTATGCATGTGTGTATATGTATACATATATATATATATATATACCCGCAAGATCCACGCCTGGACCTCTGCAAGTGGATTCATGTGAGAGTTGCTTCTACAGAAGGGGTTCGCAAGGGTCCGCGTCCCCAAGAGTGGCAGGGTGGGTGTCAGGGCCCGGTCCCAAAGGCCGCGCGTGTTCGCGCGCGCACAGGCGGCCGGCCTCCTTGACCAGCAGGCAAAGGGCCAGCGCTGCGGATTTCTGGGAGGCGGGCCTTTGGCCCAATAAGCCCCAACAGGCTGAGAGGGGGTGCAGGTTTCAGCAAGTTGGCAGGTTTCCGCAGGTTGCCCGTTGTGAACGGACTACTATCTACGTCGTTGCAATTACTCAGAAGAGTTTGGACCAGCGAGTCTATTAATGAAGTCGCGGTTGGATGGCTGCTATCTGGGTTGGCTCAGGTCACACTGTTTGGCGGTTGCCAACTGGACCCGACAACAAGCCAAGTTTGTCACCATATGGACCAAGGCATCAGAATCAAGCTTTTCGGCCTGATATCGTTTCAGCAGACAGTGTTGAAGTTGATGTCAATTTGATGCCAACGCCCACAGGCTCTTGATATTTGGGTGTGTTGTGTTTTGAAGTTTCTCCACTTGAATTCAAGTCCATTTGGTGGTTTGGATTGTTGGTTTGGTGGCTACAGGATATCTCCCCATTCGGTCCAAGCAAGAACCATTTGGCAGCCCCCGAACCACCAGTCCAAGTCATGAACCATACATCATAATTAATCAACCACTGGCATTGAAGGAGTCTACAGCAAACATGTAATGTATCCAAAGAGCTGCCAGCCCTATGTCCAGTTTGGACTGTCGACTGAACTTCATCCAGGTTTGATTGCGGCTCACGCGGGTTTGTCTCATCCAGGTTTGATTGTGGCTCACGTGGGTGTGTCTTTCAGTAAGGCAACCCCAAAGCGAGAAACACTTCCAAACGGGCCACGCTGGAAATTGACTAGAAATGGCTTAAACGGATGGGACGGTTCCTTCAACTTTAACTCAGAGCCAGACCCGAACGATATCCCGAAAAGGATAACCTAAAACCAGACCCGACTTTTTTCCTTCGAATTTTTACCTCCCCGCTTGAAAGAGTTCTTTCAAGGGGAAACTGGGTTGGTCAAGTCGCAGGGTTCCTCGGACGGGCTTGGCTCCTCTATGGCACCGGCACGTCCGCGCGGCCGAAACCGAGGCCACGCTGAAGAGCCGCCTGGGCACCCCGGGCCCACCGCCGCCGCGGGAGGCGCTGCGTGGATGCCCAACATTTTTTAGTTGGTTGGTTTTGTTTGTTTGTTTATTATTATTGTTGTTAGTATTATCATTATTGTTATCATTGTCGTATTTTTATTTTTATACTTCTTCTTTACATTTTTTACAGGAGAGTATGGGGTATTTCTTCTAGCTGGGCTGGAAGGGAAGCCAAATAGAACACCTTGAAAGCCCCTCCTATTTTGACACATACCCGCCTATAGTCACCTGGATATGTACGAATGTGTCGTACTTCGTTTGATTGGACAATAAAGAATTTCGAGGAGTCTGGAGAATCATCCCTCTTCAATCCAAGGATGTGCTCCGCTGTCATAGATGCCTGTCATTCCTGATGCCAACGTACGGGAGCAGAAACGCACCCTGATAATATCCCGCCATCCCGTTTCAAAGGGCCGGCCCGGGGGGGGGGATACTGTTCTATGTGATACAAGCCTGTTGGCCAAACATTTTGCAACCCGAGTGAAAACTGGCTCCAGGCAGCAGCCACCAATGACCTTCGGAACATGATCTTCGATATTCTCCGCAACTAGTGGGGCTAAGAGCCACCCAGGCAATTTGTCACCCGGTCAGTTTGGTTGGGGAAGCTGGACAGATTGGAATTCTGGGGTTGCTTGAGGGTTGCTTTTGGGGTTGGTTCAGGGTGGATTCAGGGCCTGAGTTGGCTTGTGAGGTTGGTTTACGGTTGCTTCGTGGGGTTGGTTTAGGCTGGGTTTTGCTCGACTGAATTGCACGAAAGAGGCCTAATCACTGCCCCCTTGTATTGAATGCACCCTATATAATCAATATCGCTTTCCCCGACCCCCAGATCCCCAATACTATTTTAGATGCGCATAATTCCAAATTTGAATTGCACCTTGTGCTTTTGAACCGCAAACATGACAAAACAACCCTGAACGGTTTCATTTGGCTTCACTGCTCGGAAATTGCGCTTGTGGACCGGTTTCGGGTCCGGGAAGGCAGACATTCCACTTTTGCTCCGGCACGTCACCGAGGCCCAGCCTCTACGATCCGCGATTACCCCCCGCCACAGCCAGGGGCCTATGAGGTTGCAGGGGTATTGGGAAAGACTGAGCCCCAGAGGCCCCCGAGAGCGGCTGCCGGACAGCTAGCCGAAGCAAACACCTTACTGGTAGAGGCTTGCCTGAGATCCAGCCACTGCTTTCAACACGTTTAGACCAAGCAGCGGGAGGGCGGGGGGGGGGGGGGGGGCAGGGTCTGGTACCGGTACATCTCAGCTGGCCATGGAGGCAGCCAATCGCCAGGGATTACAATCTGGGGAGCTTTACTGAGCCGAAAATCACAGGGAGGGGTATTTGTTTTAGGAGTTTTATTCGTTTTAAATCGCAGGTGTCCCTTCATTTTCCACTTTTCTTTCTGCACAGGTCCACTTTTCGCAGGTCTCCCCAGTGCCTGACTGCCTTGGAGGCTTCCGCGGCCAAGTCCGCACCCCCGTCCACCGTGGGGCCTTCAGCGTGCTTGGCTCAGAAGCAACATGGGGACATGAATGTCAAGAGATCCATGAAAGTTCACACCCATGTGCGCTTTTGAGGCTCGCTGTCTTTGCAGCTGGGTTTTCAGGGAAGCGAGACACGCAAGCTTGCTGGGCGGTCCCCCCCCCCGCCCAGCCCATTTTTAGTAGGGGATTTCAAGGAACAGGAAACAGGAATGCACCGGAAGGGGATTCTCCAAAAGGAAACCACCAGTTGGTTTCTTCAGTTCGGGGTTCTTCATTCATTTTGACTGGGTTTGCTAGGCTGAATCGGGGCTCGAAAGACACCCGCCTTTCCTCCATGCTTGTGTTGCTTTACGAGACACGGCCTTGTGTGCCAAGCTGGCACATTCGAGGTCTGTGGTAGCCTGGTTTGCCCAGTACCAGTGCACGACATGCGGCCGTGTGCCTACCTCATTGGCGCAGCCAGCCAAGTTTTTGATTTGTGACTTCAGAGACGAAGCAGAGCTCGAAACAAAGTGAGGCCCAACCCGATGGCGCACCAAGCGGTTTCTGGCAGGGAAACCTCTGGAATTCTCGCTCCTGGGACAGTCTGGGTTACACAAGGGGTGCAACCCTGGTTGCTACCCTATTTTCTGGGTTGAGGGAACACCACCTCAAAAAGCGTAGAGCCCCCTACGTCGGGACAGGCTGAACAAAACATGCCACCCTGGTTGCTACCCTTTTTTCTGGGCTGAAGGGACACCTCCTGCAAAAGCGAGCCCGCTGCTTCGTGCCAGGATGCCCGGTTCTGCCAAATCTGCGGGGGCAATCTGCCGTTGCCGCGTGTGCCCGCGGCCGTCACGGGGGACCGCAGCCGGGTGGCGGCAAATCTCGGGGAGGCGAAAAGCGGGGCGGTGGGCAACCCAACTGGGTTTCCCCCAAAAGACACCGCATGGAACTTAATCGAAATGGGTATATCTTGGTTTCCCGAAAGAGGGATTTCAACCCCTCTTTCCAATGTAAGTGGACTGTTTTTGGTGCTGCAAAAGGCAAGGTTTCGTCTTCCAAAACCCTTTCCATGATTGGAGGACGAGTAAGCAGCCCACCCAGGAAGTCCATATGGTCGGTTTCAGCCACCTGAAACTGACAGTTTTCAAAGGCAACGCCTTACTACTTTTCACTGCTGTATACTGCTGGTCATTGCGTTGACCGTGCGAACCATGCAGGTGGCTGCTGCTGCCGCTTTGGAAGCCATGCCCAACAGCGGGGCGCTTACTTCTGGTGTTCGAATCTTCAATTTTGTGTCTTCTTCAGTTGCAGGCAGAGCAGGCAGCCAGCTCAGCGCCGCCCGGTCCCAGCCGGTGTTGAGCGAGCCGAAGCCGCCCTCGGCTCCCGCGCCCCCCGCGCCAAAAGCGCAAGCGGCACCCCCGGCGCCCACGGCTCCGTCGCCGGCGCCGGCGGCGCAAGCGGCGCACGCGGCGCAAGCGGCGCACGCCGCGGGCTACGCGGCGGACGGGGCCAAGTGCCGACGGCGAGGCCGGCGCATGCGGCAGTGCCGCGGTCAAAAGCTCTTCGGGATTGCTTGCTAGGAGTTTGGACCATGGCGCAGATGTAAGCAGATGTCATATTGCAAACCACGTCCCCAAGTCTACTCTGCCCAGATGGAAAGCGGCTACAAGTTCCAGGCGCACGCGCTGCAACGAGCCACTCATTCTTTTGACAGGTTGTGTCTGATATACTGATATACTGTCAGTGAAAACAACTCATGGGACATCGATCAGCTGCCGATCCCCGGAAAGGTTCAAGCTTTGCCACGAGAAGACTGAATCCTAAGGGCTGTCCATAGCAATTTCAGCAGCCCGCCGGAACTCAGGTTTGACCCAAACGGACACCTCGTTCAATTGGCACTCTGGTGAGGATAGACTCAGCCTAAAGCGCATGGGGATAAGTGGTCATTGAGTTGTTTGCGTGATGTCTCAAGTTTGACCCTAAACAGGGTCTGAACAGACTGAGGCTTGCTCAGATCCTCTGTTTTTTCGCATTCGATTGCACACCTTTGTTCGACCCTCAACGAATTGGTCACCCAAACTGGTTTTGTTTTGGAATGGTTTTGGCAGAAGAAGGACTCCGTTTGTCCGAGTCGCAGGGAATTCTCATGGAACTGGGGGCGGAGTGCCAGGCAAGTCTCCAGGCAAAGCCAAGGAGCTGCCTTGGGGCACTCGCGAGAGCCAGGCCCGGAGGGAAGCGATGCGGGGTCTTCGCGCAGCCATCGCACCTACAGGGGCAACTGTAACAGGAAAGTCTTCCTTTCAGGTACTCCAGACGTGCTATGAATTGCACAAACCGTGGTTTTGTTGCGGTTTTTCTCTTGGAAGAGTTCAACTAGCAGGTTTACAGCACAGTTGCTACATCAACCACTCGGGGTTGAGCTTGCCTGCGCGCCAAGCCGCGTCGCAACGTGGCGCGCTTGCCGTGAAAGCTTTCGGGCTTCCAGGTGGCCCATTGGCTGGACAACATCAGACCGCGACGACCATAGTCACAGTCCCAGATTCGACCAATGTCAGGTTACCCTTAGTTGGTGGTTTGGGGATTTGAACCCCTGGCTTTTGTGGAGGGTAGATGGGAAACCCCTTAACCACCAAATCACCAATCCAGACCACCAAATAGAGAGAAGCTGACAGTGGTCAACCAGGCATGATCCCATAGTCATGGTTTAGCGCCATAGCCATAGTCATGGTTTCGGATTCAAAGGCTGAATGCATGAATCATATCATTGATCAATTGGGCTCCTACCAACCGTGACTTGGTGCAGACTGTGCAAAACGAAAGTACATAGTCTTCCAGCGGGAGTTTGTAAACCTTCATTTCCTCCATGTTTAGCGGGAATTGCCTGTTAGTTGTACTTATAACTTCATTTTGGGAAGCCAGCCCCCAAAGGCTCCAACATGGTCGCAGGTTTGGATGTATGCAATCAGCCTACAAGTGCGCTGTTGTGTCAACCTGCGGTGCTTTCCAGCCATTGGGGTCTGTCTCAAATAGGAAACTCCTTTCTGGATGCATTGGAGGACCCACCAATACCCCACCACTTGACGGGGGTCTCTAATTTTGAGCTGGAGAAAGGTAACAGACATGTTGCTGTACCTCCATAGTTTTCTCACCTGCACTGAGGCCCTGCGATGCATGGATTTCGTCTCACGCGCATGTACTTAATTCAAGGTCTGGCTAACGAACGCCTTGCTGCTACAGGTGCAAAGGGATAGGTTCTTCGAGGTTGACTGGATAAGACTGCTGCAGAACTTTGCTTCCCGTGGCAGCCAGGGCCGTGGTGATGGATTCTCCATTGTACCGTTAACGTGTCACCTCGCGTTGGGCTGTTGGCCAATCGGAGATGCCAGCCTTCCGCAAGAACCCGCAGATCCGGAGGGGCAGGGTTCCCGCGTTCTGCCTGAAAAGTAACGGACCCCTGGCAAAAAAGCCAGCCACAACCAAATATCAGGAGCCTAAACCCGGAAATTGGGTGCTTTGCCAATTTCCTGTAGACTTTTCCCTGTGGTTTCTATGACCCTGGCCTTAGGCCTCTTCAGAGGTAGCGACGGCCAAAACGCAGAGGGGTGCTTTGTTTCCGCTCAATTGATTTCCGCGCTTCCGAAAGCCGAGGGACATACGCAAAGACAGGTGCCCAAAACGCAGAGGGGGATTGCAGTTGGGTAAGAAGAAGTACATGGCACAAATCCCACGACTTGTGCTTCATCCTCAATCGTGTCATGGTTGGCTTCGCTTTCTGGAAGGCCAAACGGAGCGCAGGGAATGCCCCAGCTGGGAATGAACCTAGGGAGTCCCTCGAAGGAACCATACGGGGGTTTCGTCCATGTTTCCCTTTACCAGGGCTCACGCCGTTTTCGGGCTACGCTCCCACCAATTAACGTGGAACCTGACGTTCCAGGTCCTGGTTTGGACCATTTTCCTTTTAAAGGGACCCCCAAACCCGGACGTCCGGTTCCATTTGAATTTTGTTCATTTGCTTTTTTGCATATTATTTGACATAGACATAGATGTGTATCGTACGTGGTGGGGCACCCGGATTGTTTTTGACCACCGCCAGGTCAGTGGCGTTTGTGCAGCTCTGTTGGCTCAAAAGGCCAGGCCCGCGGCTCGATCCGTCGGGATCATGCCGGAGCCCTCTAGGCGGGTGGTTTCGGCCGAGCGGGATGATGTGGATGTTGCCAGGTGCCGGAAGAACACACTAAAGTGGGCAAAGTAGGCAGCCAGCTTCTGTTTGCATCGGGGTTTGATAGGATTTCCCTTTGGCTGCTTTCAAGGTGATTGGCAGCGGTTGGGCTTGCATTTTTGTCTTTTTCCCGTGCTTTGGGGTGATGGCAGACCGTTTGGGGGCAAGCCATGTGGGTATGAGTCAAAATATTCGGTCTGCCCAGAAGTAGGGGTTTTCCATTGGTTTCGGTGCAGGCGCATCGCCGCAACTTTTCTGGCGCAGAGCTTTTTCGTCCGTTCGCCTGAGGCCCATGGGCCGATATCTGGCGGCAGCTCTTTTGCCGCTCACGACGATCTTCAGTGAGTCATTTTGTTTGGAGTCGGCGCCCCTTTTTTGCTGGTTTTAAAGGGACACCTAGAGGAACACCGAACCCATTTTGGCGGTCCCCGAAAAACAAGAAAAAAAAGGGCACACCTTTGGACTTGAACTTTTGGTTTGAAACAGTCCGGATTTTCCACATTTTGGCGGAGGGTCAACAGCAACTAGGATCAAGTCTATTCCCGAGGAGGATGTCAAGCGGCCAAGAATGGGTCAAGCCCTTCAGGTATTTCGGATGCGTAAAGCGTTCGATTCCCCTTCCTTTTCCACCATTGTTCTAGTTGTTCCTGTCAATTGATGGCCCCTGACCCAGTCGCACAGGGACTCAAAAGGATCCCCCAATCCATGCAAGGGACGGCATATGTCACCCTTCACTGGTTCCACAGTGGTAAACAAGTTTCTAGTGGTGAACAAGTCATGTTCTCTCGGGTGGTGGTTGGGGGTAGTGGAAACCCTTTGGGATGGTCCGCTGCTCCGTTTCCCAGGCTGCTCCCTTTCTTCGTGCGGCAAAGTTCCGAGAGCTTTCTCACGGTGCAAGAGGCACGGGGCCCGCCGCTTGCGCCACGCGTGCCATGGTGAGAACGCTACTTCAGGGTAGCGGTCATGGACCCAGATAGACATCCGAAAGGATTCCGAAAGGGAACCCAAGGGAGCTCTACGCTCATTTCAGCAGAACGAGAGTACTGACTCAAACTTGATTCCTATTGGCGACTTTGCTGAGTTCTACTGAGTCTGACGGGGAGTGTTTCTGAAAAGAAGGGTCATCCTCTTGTGTTTAGTTTCCCTTTCGTTTCTCTGGCAAATCCAGAAAGGGAGGTGCGACCCATTGACCAGGCCCTGTTTGCCAGCCTTCGATTTCCAGAGGATGGCGCCTGTTTTGTGTTCGATATGTCAGGCAGTTGGTTTGCACACGGAATTCTACAGCTTTGCTACTCAGACGGCAGAATCGGATCTGCTAGTCCCCGAAACATCTTGAAGGGGTTGGGCCGGGGAAACCACAAGGAGGCGGTCCTATAGAAAGGCAATCTTGGCATGTTCAGAAGTTAGGCCATGCCCGGGTTCCCCTTTTCATGATTTCTGGGTCGGGATTTTGTATCTTATTTTTTTCAGGGCTCCCCATATCTCCCCTTCTGGTTGTTGTAGACATCACCTTTTCAACCAATGTCTAGTGGCTTCTTTTGGGTGCGTGAACAGTTATGACTTCTCTAGCCCTACAAATGGACCCCCAAAAGCGGCTCCCAAAGTCCTCCAAACAGGAAGGCTTTTGATGGTAGGGTAATCTGCAGGAGAGAGGAGAAAAGCAGCTCAGAGGGCCATTCCACCCGGAAAATTCCAGCGACCACTACTGGAATCCCAGAAATGTTCTTCAGATTTGTTATTTTTTATTTTTACAATTGCGATTTCCCATTTAAGTGGAAGCACTCAATCCACAAGCCCCGTGTCACATCGGGTTTCACATCGGGGCAGGTGACCCCTCTGGAGCTGCCCAGCCGCCAGCCTTCGCGGCCGCGCCTCGCAGTCCCGTGCGCCCCAGCATGGGAAAGCTAGCGGCCGAAGCGGTTTCATCGTTTTCGGTTTCGCTTGGTATTTGTGGGGTATTTATCTGGGTGATTCTTTTTCGACCGCACACGACCTCACCCCAAATGATGGTTTATGTGGGAAAAGGCCCCCAAACCACTTTCATGTATGTGTGAGGTCAGTTTCTGGTGGGTCGCCAGGTTGTTTTGCGATCTCCAAGGGGTGCACAAGCTCGGAAAACATGAGCCGCAATCATAGGGGTGGAGATGCGGCCTTTTGATGACTTACATGGGTTTGGGGTTCATGTGAGCCATATACAAAGGTGGTTCGCGGAGAGGGTATGGCTCATTTTTGTTTGAGATGGTTGTGCCAAAGGAGCATCCCCAAGAGTTGGGTGTGTTTTTTTTTTGGAGAGAACTCTCCCCGTTTTGGGTGGCCGTTTGAAAAGGAAACAGGGAAAGAACGCCCGATTTGGTTTTTCCATGTTGGTGGACGAACATGTGAAACTACGTTTTTCCACCTGCCACAAAACAGACGCGAATGTCAAGTAGCCCCATTTGCCGTGCTGAAGTGATCCCTTTTGCTGAGTGGACTTAAGCTTGCTTCGTTGCCGGGTTTGACGTGGACATGTGCATCCTTTAGTGGCGGTGAGACGAGTAAAAGGATGTCTATCAAGGAAGCCGTGGACACGGCCCATGGCACATGTGAAATCTACCTGCATTGCAGGAGTGAAGCACAGGGCCACTGCAGGGTTTAAATAGCGCTCCATAGGGTGAGGCGATAGTATGAATTGGACGAGACAGGTGAGGGCAGCAGTGGGGGATACAGTATGTCACGTACGCGGATCCAAACTCAAATAACTGTCAAAGTATGTTTTTGTCGCATTTGGACACCTGTGCTGAGCAGAGCACATAGGTTGTTCTGCATTCTGAAGATTTTCCTGCAACTTGTTCTCAGTAGACTCAGTAAACATAGTTCAAAGGGCCTCAAAGCATCGGATGGAAATGACCTTCGCGGCTCTGGAGGCAGCCATATTTCAGATTCGAGTTTGCAATAACTCTCAATTTTTGGGGTGAAAGGAAGGTCCACCGAGATCCGGGTTTCGGATGTTTTTGTCACTGCAATGGGTCAGTGCAGTGAGAGTTGGGTTGTCCCACTTGGCTTTTTGTCCTTTCTGGTAGGGGCGCTTGGCCTGGCCCATGCCGTGGTCCGCCCAAAACTTAGGCCCCGGAGCTGGGTTGGCGGAGAGACCCTGCTTTACCCCACAGCGCGCGTCCCTTCGGGTGAAATGGGGCCGTGGGACTCGACGTGCTTGCCAGGAACTCGGATGGCCTTTGCGGCACCTTGCCAGCGGTCGACGGCCCAGTAGAGAGAGAGAGAGAGAGAGAGCGAGAGAGCTCACACCCTCAAACCAAAACAAAGTAGAAACCGGAGGGGGGGGTGAGGGGGGGTGAGGGGGGGTGTATAACTTGCTAGCGCAGGGCAAGGTTCCAACCAAGGCCCCGTTTTTGCCTCCGCAAGGTGGGCCTGGCAGCAACTATGGGCCTGCTGGCCGCCGCCCGGGCCCAGGATCCCACGCGAGCTGACAATGGCCATTGGGGAACGGAGTCAGATGGGGCGCACCAAAAGTCACTGGTCGGAGATTGCGAGCTTTGAGGTGCTCTTGGAGAACAGGTTGCCCATCACGCATTTCGGCTGTCAAGAGAACACCGTGCCCAGCCACTAAAATGTGTCTGTCGCAAAATAGGTTTGATTGGTTTAAACACAAACCAAGAGGGACAACAACCAGGAGAGGTTCTATTATTATTGGAGTCTCCATTAGGTTCCCTTCATAAGGTCTTACTCAAAAGTCTTATTCTCACCGCCTTGCTTCTAGCCCCTTTCAGCAAGACCGGCGTTCGGGGTTTTCAAGCGGAAGGCAAGGGCTGCAGTGCAGCGCCGCTACAAGGGCACCTACAACCTCGCCACGGGCTCAGCAAAGCGCCCAGGCCTATCCTTAGCTCCGGCTGATTCCATTTTGGTGTTTCTGTTTTTGGAGTTGGTACCCGTGTTCTGTGCTTTTAAGGGGAAACCAAAAAGAAAGCCTTTGGTGTTCACACACCATTTATCGTTGGCAACGAAGGGAACCAAACAAATCAGCCATTGCCCATTGGATCCCGGGTAGGTAACCAGCCATAGCAGCCCGGCGCGTTCGTGCCTTTGGAACGGGTGGGACTCATCCGGACCACACGAATCACAGGAATCGCCGGGAAATGAACGAATTCCTGACTGGAAGGCGACCGAAGCATCTCTGATTCAGTCTGGAGGAATCTGAAGTTGACAGATTGCGTGGACAGTCTCAGGAATGCCGCCGGCGGGGAGCATCCCCAAAGAAGCGAAGAAACACACATGCCTCATTCAACCATAGTGATGATCAGGATGAAGAAGAAGATGATGATGATGATGATGATGATGATGATGATGATGATGATGATGATGATGCACGGGATTATTCCTTCTTTAGAGTATTGTTGCTGATGCTGGTGATGCAGTTAGGGAGACCTGGCCAAAGTGAAAATTCCACACAGGAGGGCCCAAAACATTAGACTTGCAGGGATTTAGATACGGAGTGTTAGAGAAGGCCCTGACGGAAAGAATGGATGCTCTCTGCCATCTATGTGCACACTTGACAGGTGTTGGCAGATTGCAAGGTAATTTGGGGTGGAAAGGTTGGTTCGCCTGAACCTCGCCAGATGCCAGGTTGAAGCAACATTTTCTTGTGTGCGTGTTTTGGACAGAGATTCGCGCAGCGACAAGGTCAGTGTATTGTTTCTGCAAAGCTTTTGCCATGGTAGTCAGTGCACGTTTCAGATTTTCATTGGAGATTGGTGCAGTGGACTGCCGCGTGTTTGTTTGTCATGGCCGACTGCTAGTCTATGTGATGGCGTCCAAGCGAATGCCACGCTCGGGCACCGAGCCGTGTCAGGATATGCGAATGCCTGCGGGAGAGGAGACGGTGATGACCGAAGAAGAGCAGGCGCAGATCAACAAATTCATTCGCACATTGGGACGGACGGTGGTTTTTGCGGGTACCCTTTCTGGGGTTGTTAAAACGGGGGAAGTAGAGGACTTGTTTCGGGCTCACCTATTTTGAGACAAACCTAATTGTGTGTCACGGTTTTCCAAAGCTTGTTTTCAAGCTGCGCCAGAATTGGCGCGGGTTTATTGGACTTGCATTGACCTTTGGCACAGCATTTGTTGGTGTGGTACTTGGCAAGGTATTTGTCGGGGGACCCTAAACGGGCTCCAACACACAGGTTCCAATCGGTCACGTGTGAGTTTTCAAAAGGGAACCCATTTGTTAAAACCCGCTTGGGGCACTCCTTGCGGAGAATCCGACCACCCGGGGTTTAAGTCTACCTTGAAGGACAATCAACACATGGTTACGTGTCCAAATAGAGCACCCACATTTTCCATCCCATAATTCTAAAGGGTGCTCCCTCCCCAGAGAATGGCGTAACTTACCCAACTGTGTCTTGTTTCTGGGAACCTATCTTGTACACCCAACTTTGTTCTCTGACTTTTCTTTCGGTTTGGGTTAAAACCGCTGGTTGTATTTTTTTCCTTCGAGGTCCTTCGAGGTACTTCTCGTGGCGTTGAACCGGTCTCCCCGCCGACCTCGGGTCCCGATGCGGCAGGCCGAGTGGCTGGAGACGAGGACCGCGGAGCTCCAGGAGCTCTGCCCCATGACGGACGAGGAGTTCCAGGACGAGGCGGGGCCCGAGCGGCCGGCCCTCGGCCCGGAGGAGCAACCCTGAGGCTAAGCCGAAAAGGGGGGGGGTGTACAAAAAACGGTTTTCGCCAAGTTCAGGTGAATCTGGATTTTGGTGTGATGTGGAGAAGATAAATTTATCGGTCCCATCTTGATCTCGAGAGCGTTGACAGGTGTCCTGGGGCGGAATCCACTTTCAGTCTGTGTCCTTTTCATTTGCCTGCGCGCATTGTGCCGAAAGGACACCTAGGCGAACTCGCCCGAATTTGGAGAGACCCTCGTTTCCGGCTTGCCAATTCATCTCGTCCCATTTCTGTCTTCCTCGACTACAAGCAACCATGGTACATCGACAGTGGCAGGCATAGAGCATTGGACTCTCTTGAGCAGGGCTTTGGGAAATGACCACTTCTGTGATACAACAAAAAGGTTCCGAAAGACCAGCCCCCCATAAACAGGGGGAGGTTCTCTTGTATCACAGAAGTGGGGATGCACCCTTGATCCCACAACCCTGCTCTTGAGATCGTGAAATACAAAGCCTCTTAGGTTGCACGGCTATGGAATATGCTGCCAGGTGGAAGAGAGCACCTGGGCGTAGCGCCTGCTCGCTTGAGTCGCGTGTCACGGGCCCAATGTGAGTCGGTGTCTTTCTTTGTACTTTGCTTTTTTTGGGTTGGTTCAAAGGAAAACCAAAGGCAAATGGCCATTTTGGGGGTTACCCCTATGACACGCCATTGGTGCAAGCTCTGTACTCGGAACCCAAATCAAGCCGTTGATTCTGATTTGGGGGCGGACAGAGTGGCCCTTGCACTCCAAGCCTTTCTGGCTGTAGCAATCCTTTTGCCAAACAGCATGGCTTTAGCTTCTGCCCGCTCGAATAGGAGCAGGCATCAATTTTCACTCAAGGCGAGCTCAAAAAACTTATACATGTGCTTGGAAGTCTAGCATAAGACCTTTTCAACCTGTCACCAGGCGTTTCTTTCCCACACATTTTGGTGCGTTGTTTCGAGGGTCACCCATTTGTCGGCGTCTAAACCCCTATTTTGACACATTCTGCACATTCTTTCGGCGTACTGTAAAACTAACCCAAAAAGGGACTGAAAAACACGCATTCCAATGGCCACATGGGTGTGGCTCAAAATTAAAGAGCTAGGGTGACGCAGGTGTTGGTCTTCGTTTCCATTACGTCATCATTACGTAGTGGCCATTTTGGGGATTCCATTCGTTGGTCGAGAGGCCCGTTCTGAATGATTCCGCGTGGTGGCCTCAAATCGGCAGGTGGGGCCGTCATTTGCTGCCCTTCTCGGACGGGCTCTGCAGACAGGGGAAGATATGGCAAAGTGCAGTTCCAAAGTGCAGAGGGAGGTGTTCAAGATGATATAGATGTGTATCATATATATATATATATATACATATATACATATACATACACATACATATACATACACATACATGTAGAATTATATATACGATGGCATTTTGTTTGCAAATAGGTACGTTTTGGGGCCTTGGAGAGCTGCAAGGGAGAGATAGCCTCAGAGGTGTTTGCAGGCAGGCCTTGTTGTTGTTGGGACAGCTTGAAGGTTCTGATACGGGCGATTTGGAAGCCATTCCCCCCTCATCCAATCCACGCTCCATCCTGACACCTTCAGTCTCAACCATTGCAAGGTTTCTGACCATAAGGCTCACGGGCCCAAGGAACAGTTGGCAGCCACGAAGGGAACGAAGGGGTCCCCTAGGCATGTCAAGGCAGACTATCCAGAACAAACATGGTTCTAAGGTCAGTTTGTTTTCACTACCAGGGCCTTTAATGGGATTTTCCAACCTCTTTTTAATATGGCCACTACGTAAAAGTATACACCCTATTTCCCCTTTTCAAATGATCTCGCTCCGGATCCTCAGCCGGACAGGACTATCGGCGTGAAGAGACGGCCTTGCACAAGAAGAAGACCATCATGAAACAGCGCGCCCGGCGGAATTTGTGTCGGCGAGGAGCTAATGCTCACCCAGGTCTCTCTCTCTCTCTTTTTGACGCTCCCAGTTGAGCAAAAGAAGGGCATGGCCCATTTTATAGGGAATCCCTTCACTTTTTGTTTGTGCGTGCGTGTGTGTGTGTGTGGTTTGTTTGAACGTCCAGGTTGGATTTGTCTAGGAGCAATACACCCACGGCATAGGCGCGAGTTCTTCAAGAAGCTCCGCGTGTGGCATCCGCTGGCGCTGAAGTACCCCACGCACCTCAAGGGGCCGGTCTTGCCACGTGTTGGCCGCGTCAAGACGTGGCACCTGGAGCCGTGAGCCTGGGGTTGGACTCTTTCGGACGCATCCAGGAATCCCCGTGAATACGGCTATTATATATATATATATATATATATGTATAGACATATGTATCATGCAAGTCCCAAAATGTCCAAGGAGATATAGCTGAGTTGCAGAAGCTCATTCTCCTGCTTTGGAAGGGAATGGCCACCACTGCTGTTTTGATCGGATTGTTGTTTGAAGCCTTTTGCGGGTGGTGTCTTCAGCTTTTCTCTGGGAACACCTCAGCGTTCCGCTTGGGGGCTAACCCCCCTTTGGTACCAACCTCTCTGGGTGGACTGAGCCAATGCAGTAGGAATTGGAGTCTCATAAAGTCGAAAAGGGTTTCCTTGCGGCTTCTCTTTGCCCAGCGGTTCATTCGGCCTTTCCTCTAGTTTCGAGACACGCCCACGGGCCCATGGGTTCCATCTTGAGATTCGGTGAACCTCAACCGGGAAAGGCCGGCCTGGCTTCCGTCGGGCCCTCAACTCGCCAACTCGCAGGCTGGACAGCTCCGAGAACCCCACGACTGGAGAGAACTTGGACTGGAAGATCAACGTGGAGTGCCCCCGACTTTTCCGAAACCGGGCTCCGCGAAGGCTTCCCAGGCGCCGGAGTTTGCAAGCACCAGCAGAGCTTGCTTAGGGAACTTTGCATAGAGAACCTGCACAGATAGCTTTGAATGGTGAGCAGAGCAAGAAGGGCAGAACAACTTGCACGCATCGTACAACAGATGCCGCCGAATGTTTGTTTATGCTTTTGGGGCGCCCGTCTTCTAGATTGAGACAAGTAGGCCTTTATTTCTTGGTGACTACGAGCAGAATTCGCTTCGGAGAAAGCGACGCTTGTGGTGCCGGCATTTTTTGACAAACTGCTGAAACGGCTAACCAAACAAAACCACCTGATACAAGAGGAGTCACGTGTTTTTTGAGAGCACGTGCACTTTGGCCATGATTCTCACAAGGTGGCCATCCGATGCAAGATGTCACAGCCCTTCACCATTTCCCGTTAGGCCGAGAACCAGCTTTCCCATCGAGTACTTGCAAAACAGGTGAGCCACAATCAAAATCCGGGTAGATGAAGGTGAGCAAGGGATGCTCCCAACCAGAATCAGTTGCGGCCGCCTTCTTCTTTGCATGGTTCTAGAATTACGCCCGTTTTAATACCGGGTTTTGAGCAAGTGACTCAGGTGGCGACTGGAACAGGTACTTGGCCAACGAGGAGAAGATCGCAGGCTTCACCTACAAGGAGCCGCTATTGGTCGGACAGCGGTCGAAGCTGCCGCGCCTTGGGGCGTGTGGATGGGTATGGCTCATTTTTCCTTAGAACAACTGGGGCAAACCGCAGGTTTTAGGCATCGGTTCCAGTTCGCAAGGCGCCATTTTGGGGAGTCCATTCGTTTGAGCCACAGCCAGATGGCTTGCGCAACCAACACGGGGACCTTCCGTCTCAGCGCCAACCGGCCGTGGAAACACGACGCTGTGGGAGTGCATCCCCGGTCGCAGCCTCCATTGAGTTTTTGGTGTTTGGCAACCTCAGAGTTATCCTGCTCCTTCCCAAAACACGTGCAAACACCTTGATTGGTCCAAACAGACTAAAAGATCAACACCGAACGAGGAAAGTTTTCAGCATGTCACGCACAGTCACAACCTCCTACAAACTGAATTGGACAAGGTAATTGTCGTTTAGGCAACGGGAAGTGAGGAGTTGAGAGTGAGCACACTCATTGCATTGAGTCAAACGGTGTGTGTGTGTGTGTGTAGTGTGTGTGTGTGTTGTGTGTTGTGTGGTGTGTGGTGTGGTGTGGTGTGTGTATATATATATATATGTATCTGCATGTGTGTATGTGTTTGCGTGTATGTGTAAATAGTGGGACTACGTTTTGAGCCTTCGCTTGGCCGAGCTGTTCAACGCCGCACTGAGCCCATGGTCAATGGCACTGTGGCAAGGGAGCATCACGGGGAGTGTCTCCTTGCGGTGCCCCTGCATCCCAAAGTTGGTTCCCAGGAAGGATCAACCCCGGAAAAGGCCACCTCAAACGAAGCCTAGCTCATGCTTGAACCAGCAGGCAACTCATTGATTGGAATGATCATTCAAGCAGCATGCAACATCTGGACATGAGACTGTAACGCTGGCCATGCAGCCATGCCGCAAGGACCCTAGCTGCCATCAGGTTGTGCAGGTGGAGACATGCAGTTGGTTACCATGAAGGAAGGGTAGACACGATTCGCTTTGTGCCCAGCTTGTTACAGGCTTACATGGCGACAAAGAGCAAGATCTCCCGAGATGCACTAGAGGAACTTTCCTCTTTTGAAGATCCTTGCGGAGTTCCAGATTGATTGTCTTGACTCAGCATGTTGGGATGCCACTCCCTGCTGCCCCAAGCGCGGGCTAGCCGAGGCCGTTTGGCAATGCCCAGGGAGCTTTTGCGGTGAGCGTCGCTTGGAAGCGCAACACGAGCTGACGATTCCTGCGTGCTGATTTAAGAGGTTCAGCACAGATGTATTGGCGTGCGTGTTTGCGTGATTTGTTGTTCGGGTTCCGCTTTCTGTTTCTTTTTTTGAAGGGAAGCCAGAAGGAAACCAATGTTATTCAAAGAACCTGGTGGGTATGTGGAGACACAATTCGAGGGATTCTCAAAACAAGGGACTTCTCTGAACATGTTGGGTCTCCGTTTTGAGACGAGTCCTCTAAGGCGTCTCCCTTTGCTTCAGCCCAGTCGGTGTCGCCCTTTGCAGGAGGATGGGCGAGGGTGTCGGTGTAGGGCCAGGGGTAAAGATGGGCAGGTCCCGCCCTGCCCCTTCAAAGTAACCTTGTGTTGCAAGCAAGCCTGGCGACAAAAATGCAACACCCTATACAAGCAACATGTGACGGGTGCCGGATTGTGACCGTGTGTTATGTCAGTCGGGCTCTTTTCTTGTTGCAGGATGCGGTGGTGGATGTGGTGTGTCTCCATTTGACTCCGCTTCGGCCAAAGCAGCACCCACAGCATCTCCCTTTGGAGGAGGGTCAGTCGCACCCGCTGCATCTCCTTTCGGGGGAGGGTCAGCGGCACCCACAGCATCTCCTTTTGGGGGAGGGTCAGCGGCACCCACAGCATCTCCGTTCGGAGGAGGGTCGGCAGCAAGAAGTGCGTCTCCATTCGGATCAGGGACAGCGACTGCAGGGTCAGCAGCACCCACAGCGGCCCCTTGTGGGGGATTGTCAGCGGCTCCCACGGCATCCCCTTTTGGGGGAGGGTCAGCGGCGTCCCCTTTTGGAGGAGGGTCAGCAGCACCCACAGCATCTCCGTTTGGAGGAGGGTCAGCGGCACCCGCTGCATCTCCTTTCGGGGGAGGGTCAGCGGCACCCACAGCATCTCCTTTTGGGGGAGGGTCAGCGGCACCCACAGCATCTCCGTTCGGAGGAGGGTCGGCAGCAAGAAGTGCGTCTCCATTCGGATCAGGGACAGCGACTGCAGGGTCAGCAGCACCCACAGCGGCCCCTTGTGGGGGATTGTCAGCGGCTCCCACGGCATCCCCTTTTGGGGGAGGGTCAGCGGCGTCCCCTTTTGGAGGAGGGTCAGCAGCACCCACAGCATCTCCGTTTGGAGGAGGGTCAGCGGCACCCGCTGCATCTCCTTTCGGGGGAGGGTCAGCGGCACCCACAGCATCTCCTTTTGGGGGAGGGTCAGCGGCACCCACAGCATCTCCGTTCGGAGGAGGGTCAGCAGCAAGAAGTGCGTCTCCATTCGGATCAGGGACAGCGACCGCAGGGTCAGCACCACCCACAGCATCCCCGTTTCAATCCACTACAGCAGCTCAGAGGGGTGGGGCAGCGTCCGATGCGCAGGCACGGGTGGAAGGTGCTTGTGCGTTACAAGAGTCACAGCGCGCAAGGCCGCAAGACAAGTTCTGGAGGCCCTCTAGTCGCTGGCTTGTGACCCATCTCATTTCGTGGCGGTCGCAGGAGGTTCCTAGTGCTTTCAATTCAATCAAGCTCCAAATACCAAGGGTGTCAGCTAAAATGGACTCACCGTCACGTACACATCGTACAGATCCATGTTGGTTTCTGACCCCCACCTTGCTCCCGCAAGCTGCAGGCAACGTGTTTTTCTTTTTGTGCCGTTCACAGCCAAACCGGGAGGGGGTGTGCCCTGGTCCAAAGCCTTGGGGATTCTCACAAAGTGGGTCAAAACCGATTCGGGTAGATGGTTCGGTTAGTAAGAGACAATCCCAACTACAAATAGCTGCGGAGATCCTTCTTGATTCTTCACATGGTTCTAAAATTACGGCCATTGTACTACCGGGTTTTGAGCACGTGACTCCCGCTGCCTTGGTCGTTGCGCGCCAGGCAAAAGCCAAGGAGGTGCCTGAGCTGCTGCGGAAGGTCGGGTGGAAGCTCACCAGCTTCGGGGATGCCCAGGCGGGGGCCTTCGCGCCTTTGGTCCAGGGGGTTTGTTGAACGGGTACTCCAAATGGCGGCGCCCGTGTCCTTCCAAGGAGCCTTCCAACTTGGGAGAAAAGCGGTTCTCAACAAAATGGCTTCAGGCTTGCGCCGAAGATCAAGATGGCTTCAATTGGACTTGGCTTGGCACCACAAGCGCCTGGCTTTTCTCCTCGCATGGCGTTTGAAATGAGGCCAACTTCATTTCTGGCGACTCCTCCTTCGAGGAGCAGCGCTGGACGCTGCTGCAGAAGCCCCGAGAGGAGTGGGACTCCGTGGCCGCGAAGCAGCTGGAAGCGGCGGACCAACGGCTGCAGACCTTCTTACAGGCGACCCGACCCGTGAAACCCATGGGACCTGAGCCCCGGTCTCCCTGACACGGGCTTGAGACCAACGGAAGGTTGGTGAGGCAGAGGTCAAAAGGGGTTCAGGTGGATATCATCCCCTGCCCATTGAACTCAACTCACCTCTTCGCCCCAGGCTCTTTTGGGCGAAGCCAAGTGTCCACTTGACTCTTGGAGCTTGTGTAGATCCCATCTCATACAGCTGACCTGATTTTATTCCCCCCTATGTTAGGTGGTCATGAGATCTCCCCGCATTTGAAAACTAAGAGGGACGTGTTTGACCTACTATGCTTGCCAGGGATCCACACTGAAAGCAACCCCCCCCCCGGAAGGGTACCAAAAGGTTCTTCCCTCTTGGGGGTATCAACTTCAGGGTACCAACTTCAAGAGGGAGCCTGGCACGGGGGTTACCACAAAGCTGCGCAGGCCCAGCGGCCGGAGCCTTCTGCCGCCCCCGGCCCCGCCGCCTCACCATTCGGTTCGGCGCCTGCGGCCTCTCCGTTTGGGGCCTCGACTGCCTCTCCGTTTGGGGCAGCGACTGCCTCGCCCTTTGCGCAGGCGCGCCTCGTCCGTCAGCTCTAAAGGGGTATCACAATACGCTCAGAAGAGATCAACATCATGAGGCATCGGATCATCCAAATCGGCAGAAGTTTCTGCCGTTTTGCAAAAAGGCGCCTTGTTGCCGTTGGTGGCGTTCTTAGTCACATGGCAGCAGCACATCGGCGGATTTCGGCGAGAAATCGGAAAATTTCAGCGGGAAATCGGCGGAATCCAGCAAACAACATCGACGGAATTGAGTGGATTCAAGTTGCCGCATGGCGGAGTGTTTGTTGCATTTCGGCTTTTTTTGTCAGGGGGGTGCTTTTTTATTGTCGGCAGATATGTCTGCTGCTGGATCCTTTCGGCAACAAGTTCTGCCGCCAGAGGGTCCACGTATATTTGTGCCGCAGATTGGGCTGACCTCAGGTGGGCGCGGACACGCAGAAATTACGGAGGCACCTAGCAACCAGATGCAGACCGGAGCGCCCCAAGCCCCCTCGGAACCGCACCACCTCCCCAGAACTTGGCACTGCCCGACGCCCCGCCCCGCACTCCTCAGAGCCGCAGGGATCCGAACCATCGTCGAACATCCTAGTCCTCGGAGCCCTAGCCGCAGACCGCTGAGCCGATTGGCCGAGGGTAAAGACCCCACAGCTTCCAGCTGGGAACTATGCCATCATGGCTTTTTGGAGGGCATCGAAAGCTGTCGAAGGGAAAGCCTTAAAGGATGCTGGCACCACACGTCAGGTTCCATACGTGAGGTTTTGCCATAGGGGGTTGAACGCAGCACCAATTGCACCAGAATAGACCCAGATAGCGAAACACATGCCAACGATTGCACAACAGCACCTCTAGCAGCACCCCCTTGAAGAGCACCTCAAACAACACCCCAAACAGCATCCCAAGACAGTGCCTAGAATCCCCAAACTGCATGGCCCCTAACACCCCGCCATCAATCTCGCAAAAGTGCGCCCGCGCCATCACCCCAAACAGGGCACCCCCAAACAGCACTCCCAGAGCACCCGGCCACCAGCACCTCAAACAGGACCCCAACCAGCTAACAGCACCCCCAAACAGCACCTACACCAGCACCAGAACTGCACGCCCCCCAGCACCCAGCCGTCAATCTCCCAAATCACCGTCCCCTGTTTGTCAGAAGTTAGAACCCCTATAGCTTTCAGCTATTTATGGGAATAAACTTTGCCGATTAGTCGGGGAATTACGTGAAAAGTAAAGAAGGCCCACTCCAAAATGGAAGACCCCCGATTTACCAACCGCGGTTTACTTGGCCTGTTTTCCCAGCATGAATGTCGAGTGGTTGGGGGGGCTTAAATTGCTCTCATTCCAATTGGCAGACTTGTAAAAGCCCGGCATTGTTATTTATTCTCACCACTTCCTTGTGTCAGGATTGGGGAATTTACGCGCCTGCTGCATTCCTTGGATGTGGTAGCCGTCTCTCAGGCTCCCTCTCCGGAATCGATCCAGAGGGCCGGCGAAATTTGTGGCCAGACCCGGTGGAAACAAGCATTTTGGTTCAAACAGTGGTTTCAACATGTTCCTTCTCATTCTGGCCCTAGGTGTCCTTAGGTTGTTTGATTAGGCATAGATGGGTTCCACTGGTTTAGATGGGTTGAGCCTATTTAGCAGGGGAACCCATCGATAGCAGGGGAACCCATCGATTTTTGAGCAGAAGGCCACCTATGATTCTGGGAGGCTCCTGCGGCCCCGGGCAGATCTGTGTCTCCCTTTGCCTCGACATCCGCCGCATCACCTTTTGCCTCGCCGCTTGCCGGCGATTCGCGCTCGCGGGAGTGAGACGATTCGGACGGTTCCACCAGCCCAACTCACTTCAAGATTCGGGATGGTCTTCCAAACTACATCCCATCAAGCAGAGTTCGTAAGATACGGCAGGTTGTTCTTGAGGCTCGGTACCCTTCGGGTTGCGGGAAACGGAAAGCTCTCTGAGCTCCACGGGGGTCCACGAGACCAACCAGTTTCTGCCCAAATGTGACTTTCGATTTTAGGCGCCGCCCATCTCTGTTTGGATCGAGCCAGGTATGCTGGGGCAGCTGGTAGCTCAGCGGGGGCCTTGAGGGTGTAGAGGAAAGCAGGTGCAGCGGAAAGAAGGTGGGTGAAACAGGGCCCAGTGGACTTCCTGGGAAAGCCAGAATATTGAATTCCAACAGCTCGTCAACATACCGTTTGAGCCCATGAGGATTCCTTGCCTGGGCGTTTCGGGTCTGCTCACAATTGGAGTGTTATTGGACGAACAGTTTGGAAAACACCTTGAGCACCAAATGGAAAGCGCCACATATCCCGTTCTTTTCTTGGGATGGGCCGGCCACCTTCCATCCCAGGCTGCGGCGGGTATGGGCTTGGAGCCAGTGGCCTTGAGGCGCGGCAGATGTAGACATGGCATGGCAAGTTGAAGGCTGGATTCGATGAATGGCTCTGTTGACCATAAGAAACAAGATATGGCTGTGGGTCAAAACCAATGGTACTATTTTGGGGTAGGTGCACCACTAATTTTAGCCTATTTTAGTGGGGATTGGGATGTTCACTGGCGGTACGGGGTTTTGACCCATGGCCATATGTTTGGTGCTTTGGCCGAAGAATGGCTCTGTACAGCTTTTTTTTCAGCGAGGAACGGTTTTTTTTACCCGTTTCCACCACCAGTTTCATGTTTAGTCGGGCAAGCGGTTCGGTGAATTCCCATTTGCAATGGTTGGAGTTCCAGGCGGGAAAGGAACCCTCGGGCAGACCAAGTTTAAGGGGGTGTGCAGCGCATTGGGCGCTCTGCATCCCCAAGGAGAACGAGTCCTTAGACTGTATTGGACCAATCTGGGGAAAGCCCGAAAGAGACGGAGGTGAGGTACAAACTTGCCAACAGATGGCAAACGGAGCACTTTTTCCCACGTGAGGGCTCTCTCAAATCCCCGGAAAAGCCTGAGGCCAGAAACGGGGCGGGCTGGAAGAACCAGACTTGTATCACTATTTTGGGTTTCTGAATTGGCGACAGCAGGGTTTTCACCTCATGGTGAAGGCAAAAAGTTACCTCTCTCAAACCGGGGAGTTCCCGGTCCGCTCGGCTTCCTACATATGTCAGTACCATGTTAGAAACATGCCGGAAGTTCAGACCCTTCTTCCTCAAAGGCCCATTTGGGGTTGTATTTTTTTGGTTGGGAACCCCCTTTTGGTTGGTTTCAAGAGGAAACCAAGATGAAGACCACAATTTTTAAGCCCCCCCCCCCTGTTGATGTATGCCCATTTGACGCATGCCCAGTTGAACCGCCCGTCCGTCCAGTGGGTCCGTCCAGGCCGCACGAGGAGCACGAGCTGGACGCCGAGGCCGGCATCCAAAAGACGGACACAAGGCACACAAAAACAAACCCAAGAACAAAATTAGTAAAATATGCAGAAAGAACAGAAAGACACACAAAGAAAATGCATGACACAAATTAGGGGTATAAACAAATGGGTGTGGCTCAAGATTAAACAGCTGGGGCAAACCGCAGGTAGTCTACTTTTCCATTTAGGGTTCCATTTTGGCCCCATTTTTTCAGCCAGACCCAAATGGGTATGGGTCAGAATTAACAAACGCAAGCAAGCAAGCAAGCAAGCAAGCAAGCAAGCAGGCAAGCAAGCAGGCAGGCAGGCAGGCAGGCAGGCAGGCAGGCAGGCAGAGACAACCAGACAAAAGCAATCAAATACATCAGTTTCTTGTGCCTAGGTTCGAAGAGCCTTCGAGGCAGCAACCTTCGAGTGGCAGAGGATCCCGGAGGCGAATGGACTTTCGCCTCGGCACTCCAGTTCGAAAACTTGGTGGTACCGGTTTTAAGTTGTTGATACGGTTGACTTCACAGTTCTTGGCGAGTTTCTTTAGAGTTTTTTTTTTTTTTTTTTTTTTTTTTTTAATGATCTGTTCATGTTTCGTAGGGGGCTGCAACAAAGCACAGTTTTTGCTACGATTGCCTGGAAACCAAAGGGAAACCAGGCCACGCGGGTGTGGCTGAAAATAGAGGACCCTCGAGTTCTTTTGGTGTGTGTGTGTCCTCAAAAACAAACATGTCCATTTTGGTGGACACACCGCCGACCATGTATTTCTGATGTCCACCAAGGGTCTGACCATTCCTTGATTACCCTCTCCTCACTTACATTCACCTTGATTTGATCTGCAGTGGGGGTCCCTTAAAATGAAAGTCTTGAGGGAGGGGCTGGTTTTGCCTTAAACCACGATGCAAGGGGTTATTTTGAGGATGTCACTCCACTGGAATGCATGCCTAGTTGTGCAAAGCTTCTTAAAGAAACCTTCATATCATTTAGGTTAGCCTCCCAACTGGAACCAATCAGAGGGTGCCTAGAGGACAGTAAGGTTCCATGTTGGAAGGAACCCTCATGGTTGCTCAGCAGATCCCGGGCTCCGCGCGATGCCGAAGGTCGAGCCGCCGCCCTCCGTGTGTTAACCACGCCGCGCGAGGGTGACAAAAGAAAATGGGGCGCGGGGGCAGGGCTGCGACAAGTGGCTACACTTGCATCAAGATTTACTTTAATGTTAACCCCGGATGAATAATCCCCTGGTTAAACTTTTATTGCGGGGTGTCCCCTTTGAGTGGGGATTCATCACTTTTGGAGGGAACACCCCCTAATAATGGGACGGGTTTATTGATCCTGGGTCAACTTTATCCTTGGGCAGGATTGAGACTCAGTTTTACTCGTCCTTATTTTGATCGGATCCCTGGAATATGGTCCAGTCCAAGACACAGATCCAGCTTTGGAGGATCCTCGAAGGATATTTTGGGATGGTGGGGGGAGCCCTGGGATCTTTGCCGTCCAGACGAAGGAAGACGAGGGCAGCCAATCAGAACCACGAGTTGAGAGCACCTGGCCATGCCCATTCCCTGTTGGCCATTGCAGTTCAGTGGGGTCTAGTAAGACCCATATGCCTTGCCAGACGTAACAAGCCTGTTTGCCCTCGTGATCACTTCTTTCAGGCCCTTTGGCCAAGCATGATACCAACCTTTGTATCTAGGCGGTCTACAGATGTTTACGGGGGTAAACAAGGCCCATGTGAGCCACAATCAAAGCCCGATGAAGGTTAGCAAGGGACGATTCCAGCCGTAAATTTACTGTACATGGTTCTGGGATTACGACCAGGTTAATACCGGGTTTTGAGCCCATGTGATAGCAAGAGGTCATCTACCTCTGACAGAAAACCCCACAGCCTCGGGGCTTTTACAGGACTTCCTGGAGGAGACAAACGGCATGAAGTTCGACAAAGCCGAATGGGCGGGCTACTTAGGGGTCGCTGCAGATGCTCCTTCCTGGCACTTGAAGAACCTACAAAGTGGGGTGGTCAGCAAAAACCTGGTAAGAGGTTAGAATTTGGAGTAGCAGGTTAGAGTTACGTTGTTGGTAGCTGGAACATGTTCACAAAAGTAGTTGAAAGGGGATGGGTTTCTTGTGTGTTCGCGGACTTCCCCTCCCTTTTGCTGGATATTCAGCACACACACACACATGCACAAACACACGGAAACATAGACACCTCGCGGATATGCGTTAGCCGCGGGTTGAGGCAAAGAAAGCCAATGACTGAGCTGTCGATTGAGGCCGTGCCTCAAGTTGGAGATGTGATCGAGGGAACCATCAAGTCTCTCAGCGAGGCGAATCGAAACAACTGGGCTGGTGGAACTTTGAGTAAACCAAAATGGGGGTGGGGGTGGGTGGGTTGTGGCGTCTGCTTTCCCCAACTCTATCTCAGAGGCACTTGTGGCGGATGGGAATCCATCATCCCCCGAAGTGCATGGCAGTAAGCTCAGTTATCAATCCTGATTCCACTCGAAGCCCAACAGGCCCTCACGAGGGCAAAAGGGTCGATGCGCATGGAGCAACGCACCATTGGGGTTCCCTTTCCAACAGCCCCCCCCCCCGGTGTGCGCTTGGGGGTTCTTTTGAAACCCAACCGCTCAAAAAGCGCGCCCAGGGAAAGTTTCTCTTTTTTTTTGGTTTTGGCTTCCCTTAACAGCAAACAGTGTGCCACTCAAAGAAGGAGGCGATCCTGGGTAGACTGAAGCCCAGTGGTTGATGTCCCCAACGTGAGCAAAGGGGGGATGGTTCTGTGCGAAACCCAAAACCGCCTGTCTACCTTGGAGTTTGCTCATGGAAAAAGTGGAAGCCTTCAGCTTTCCTTACGGTCTCCTGGGCGTTTCGAGAAAACCAACTCCGTTTTGAGGAGAGTGGCCACTCCCGATTCTCATGCCAGAGGGCCCCTCGCCCAGCCTCTTTGGGGCAGATCCCTCGCCATTTGGGAGGGATCCGAATCTCATTTTTGGGGAGCCCGTTTTGAGCTGAAGGGAAGCCAAAAGGAAGCTCACCCATGGTGCGAATCCCTTTGACACATACCCGATGTCTCTTTGCAGGAAGGAGCCTTTGTGGAGATCGACACCCACCGGGTGAAAAGCTGGGCTCAGATTCCTTTGAGGCGCTGATGTCTCGCCGGAAAATCGACGGACACCGCCGGCTTGCTTCAGTTTCCTTGGGTGAAATGATGAAAGCTCTCATCGATTTGTCCGAAGCACCCGGAGCTTTTTCGACTTTGCGACTTTGTCGTTCACGGTCCTGTGGCCCTTCCGTCGCGGTTCAGGTTCATGTCCTTGAAGCCGATCGGCGCTGTAGAAGAGGCGCCACCTCTGGCAGGAAAGGATCCTGTATAGGGGGGGCGGGTTTGGCTTTTGGACGTATTCCTGAAAGAACTCTGCTAAACCAGTGGTTGCCGGTGCCCTTCCCTAGGGTGATTCTCCATTGCCCTCCCCAAGAATAACAACAACACACTGGTTTCTATTGGCTTCTCTATATTTATAATATATGAGGACTCCGAAACTGCTTTATGGGTATTGGATTCATGTTTCTCATGTTGGCCAAACTTGTTTGGTGAAACAGGGATGTCTTGGGGCCAAGTTCCATTTGCTGCAGCCTGGACCGTTTTGTGCTTTCTCGGACGTTTCTCTTCTCGGGCCATTTGGGCTCAAGCGTTGACTCCCTTGATCCTTTGGCTGCCCTCGGTCTGATTCTCGGTTGCTTGTTTTTCAGGATGGAACATGCCCTGGCTGCTATGATGGAGGCAGCGGGAGAAGCGGCCCGTGAATCTGCTCCGGCTGACTCTCATGGGTCCGTGAGTATGCAGGTCAGGGCGGAAATTCTGACAGCACAGCTGCCTCTTGCGATGACATTCGCAGAAGGAACCTGGCAGGACTGCGCCGTCCAGCTGGTGCAAGATGGAGCACAATGTTCGGGATGCTCAGGACGAACCTGGGGCCCACACGGCTGCTTCAAGCGCCGATTCGAATTGCCGGATGGACATGGAGGACTTCTGTGGGCCGACCGCTGCAGCTTTGGTGGCCTGGATCCAGAAGAAGGTGTCTTCAAGGAGCTTGGGGGGAGAGGCGGATCGCATGGTGGCCTGCAGTTGTTCGATGGTACGATTTGGACGGGGCCCCATCAACACCTGGACGGGACTGAGGTGGCGTGCAGGTGGTGCTTTGCCCGGTACCTGGACGGACATGTGCGTGCTGCAGCCTCACGATGCAAAGGCCGGGCTCTACCACCTGTGGAGCCGAACCACCTCCTCACCAAGTTGACGACAGCAAGACGTTCAGGCCTGGGAGGGCGGCGGTGTGAATGTGGATTGGGGGGGAACCTGATCCAGTCGGTCAAACGTGGGGCCCAGCGCGAGAAGGACTACAGGGTAAAGTGCCTCTGCAACCAAGCAGTCTTGCCGGCGCAAACGGCGCGCTCTAAAAAAATATCACCCAGCCAGCCCAGACGGATGGTCAACAATGACTTCAAGTTCAAGGCAGCTGGAATCAAGGTTGCCACAGTCGATCCAGGTGCACTTCACCACCAGGGCTGACGGGGGCTGCTGCGTGGTGAACACAACGACGTCCTTGTGGACAACAGGCGTGGTCTCTAGCCGGCGAACATCCACGCAACTGTGGAGAATACCAACGAGGGAGGAGTGGACCCTCAGCCGGTGCTCAGGCTTGAGGAGAACGCTGAGAGCCGCAGAGAGACCCTCATCGCGACGGCAAGGCATTTCCAAGTCCCCACATCTCCAACCTCTTTACGCTTGGGAGCAAGCCTGGGCAGTTGGATCGGTGGGTGGCTTTGTGCCAGCCCGGACAAGGACCAGCTTTGGTGGTTTGCCTTCGATGTGGCCAGCGAGGCGAATCGCAATGTCTGGCGGACCAGCCGACTCATTTGCACTTCGCTGGAAGGGACCCACGAAAGACAAAAGAGGATCTCTGTGCGCGATGGCTTCACGCCAAGACAAAGCCTGCTCCCGGAGTTGCTCTCTCTCCACTTGCAGGACCAGGGCGGGGACCTTCGTAGGACTCTTCAGGCCCGTTGGCGGGACCGCCTTCCGCTGGGGGCTGGCAGAAAGCAAGCCCAGCCGGTGACTGGGTTTGCTGCACTGCCTGCCTTCAGTTTTGGAATGTGATATCAACCAGCCTCAGAGAAAGATTGTGCTGCGTGCGAAGTAGACTTTTTTGTTGATCATGGGGTAATCCCCCAACCAATCCCCGGGTCGCTTTTGCCAGCCACCTTGAGACCTTGATCAGGTTGGCCTAGAGCTGGGCCAGAAGGTCTCGGCAGCGGTGGTGGAGGAAGGCTTGGCGTGGAGCGGTAGGTTCTGGCAGCATGTTCAACTTGAAAATCCTTGAACTTCATATTGTTCCTGCTCATTGTATCTGCTTCTCATACTTGGAAGCTTTTTTGTTTCCTGACTTCATGGACATTAAAATTGCTGGGAATACCATTTTAGCGTCACACAAACAGTAAAGACGGTTTTTTGTCCAATCCACTCATGAAGTGAGAACTTTAGTGGCAAACAAACAGGTCCAGAGTTGTCTTGGCCAAACTCTGAGAAATGGAAAGAACTCGGTTTCCTGCACTTTCATCTCAGATGTTCCATGTACCGCCAATTGTTGGGTTCCCCCATTTTGAGACAACCTCATGTGTGATCATCGTTGGCACATGCGCACCTTCACGCCTTCCTTCAGGAATGCACCCGGTTGTGCGCATTGAGCATAGCGCTGTCAGGCTTGCGCTCAGTGGTTCCTGGTGACAAGTATGCGGTCCAGTACATTCTGCTACTAGACCGCAATGGCTTCAAACAGGGCCCCAAATTGGCAGTGTTGGAACCGCCTGAATAGTAGTTCTGGTTGATGTTGATGGCAGGTTCCCATCCTGGATGGGTTCCGGATCGCATTTTTTTTGAGGGTGGTTGCCCTTCCCTAATATTCCACAGTGATTGATCCGTGGTCGACACGAGGCTACAAAGCATGCTGGTTTTGTTTTCGGTTGTAATGACTGTTGATTTATTGCCCAGACTTTGAGTCAGACTTTCAAGCTACATTTGTGTGCAGCTCGAGGGTTGGTTGTGGACAGACATCGAGCTACGCTCACGCCACATCAGCACGGATAAAAGGCTCACAGTTCTGTTTCTGAAGCTTGAGTTTTTTTTGGGGCAACCTGAAGATTGACCATGAGGTTTCCGCGTGCTTTGTCAGCCTGCGCAGGGGCTACATTTAACCTACCCTCCAAAGACCCTCCTTGTCGGCTCGTTGTGGGGGGCATGTGCAGTGTTCCGGGGTCGGGCCTACCATCCTTGGATGGCCTGCCCGAAAACGCAGATTTCTTCAAGTCATGGGTCAACATGTCTCAACTTGCTCGGGGGCCACGAGCCCAACCCGAGGTGCTTGACACAAGATACCAAGTCCATGGCGTACGGGTTGGCCCAACAGGTGCAGAATCCTTGTTTCAACCGGCTTCGATGGCTTTTTTTAAATATATATATATATATATTATGATTGTTATTGTTATGATTATTATTATTATTATCATCATTTTTCAAGTTTTTCTTTTTCAGGTCTTTGCAGAGCATCGAGCTGGACAACGCCTGGGAAAAGGTGTGTGTTGAGTCTGTTTTGGGTTGGGCGGTGGGATTGGGCCGTGGCCCACACCCATTGGTTTAAAGTTGGGACGCCACGAAGACATGCTGGCTGATTTGTGACGCTGGGCCCGTCCTAGTTCCCTTTTTGGGGCGGGCAGGCTTCGGATCTCATTTGGGTCCTTACATCGCCCTGGAAGGGTACGTATCATCAAACACGCAAAGTGGATGGGGGGTAGATTCCTCCAAAATGTTTTTCCCCAACAGCTGAAAGCTTTGGGGTCTCAGCCCAGATAGGCTCCGGGGTGGTTCGGGGCGACCCTGAGCTAAGGTTCCACCAGGGTTCCACCAGGGGTTCCACCAAAGTTCCACCAGGGTTCCACCAGGGTTTCACCAGGGTTTCGCCAGGGTTCCACCAGGGTTCCACCAGGGTTGCACCAGGGTTCCACCAGCGTTCCACCAGAATTCCACCAGGTTCTGCAAGGGCGGGGTGGTGTGGGGTGGTTTGAGGCAAGGTTCCACGAGGGTTCCACGAATTTCTTCGAGGGGGTTTGAGGAAGGTTTCACGAGGGTTCCGCCAGCAGGGTTCCAGGCTGCGGGGTGGTCTGGGTGGTTTGAAGTTTCTACGAGGGTTCCACCAGGGCCGCAGGGTGGTCCGGGGTGGTTTGAGGTAAGGTTCCACGAGGGTTCCACCAGGGTTCCAGCAATTTCTTCGAGGGCTGGGGTGGTCTGGTTTGAGGAAGGTTCCACGAGGTTTCCACAAGATTTCCACCAGAATTCTGCCAGGGTTTCACCAGGTTCTGCGAGGGCTGCAGGGTGGTCCGAGGTGGTTTGAGGTAAGGTTCGGGTTTGGCCAGGTTTCCACCAGGGTTCCACCAGCCTGTCGTGCTCCGGACAAGGGTTCCACCAGGGTTCCACCAAGTTCTTCGAGGGTGCGGCGTGGTCCGGGGAAGGTTTCACCAGGGTTTCACCAGGGTTCCACCAGCGGTCCGGGCTGGTTTGAGGTAACGTTCCATGAGAATTCCACACGAATTCCACCAGGTTTTGCAAGGTAAGGTTCCATTCCAGCACAGTTCTAGCAGGGTCCCACGAGGTTCTGCGAGGGCTGCGGGGTGGTTTGAGGTAAGGTTGTATGAGGGTTTCAGGGTTCCACAAGATTCTGCGAGGGCTGTGGGCCCTGAGGTTTCACAGGGTTCCACAAAGCTCTGCAAGGATTCCACACGGGTTCCACAAGGCTCCACAATGCTCCACCAAGCGTGTGTCGTGCGCCCGTCGTCTGAAAAGCCATCGGATCAAGATCGCTCTACTCATTTGCGGAACACTAAGCAAAACCGAAATCAATGGTTTTTAGCGCACTTTCACTGTTTTGTGACTTGCTCACTTGCTCAGGCAAATGTTGGCTTTGTCGCAAATCAGATCAAGTCGCTGCGGAACTCACGGTGCAGCAGAGTAAATGCTTGGCATTGCTGCTTGGTGGGCTTTGGGTTCCAAGAATTCCACGAGGCTGCGAGGGCTATGAGGTCAAACACCAAATTCTGCAAAAGCTATGGGGCAGCCCTGAGGAAAGGTTCCAGCAAAGTTCACGCTGAGCTCCACGAAAGTTGCGTGAGAACTGTTTGCGAGGTTCACCGGGCCTAGGTCGGGGCCCGATTGCACTGTCGGGGCCTTTGGGCCCGATCGGCCCCGATTGCGCCATCGCGCCCCGATCGGGGCCCGACTCAGTCGGGCCCCGTCAATTGTACTAAGCTGGCATCGCCTAGTTTTGCTATAGATACAGTTGCAATCCGCATACTAAGGAAAACCGGCGTTGAGCTATAATATGGGTGGCTGGGGTTGCACCACGGGACGATCGGGGCCCGATTGCACCGTCGGGCCCCGATCGGGCCCCGATTGCACCGTCGGGCCCCGATCGCGCCCCGATTGCACCGTCGGGCCCCGATCGGGCCCCGATTGCGCCGTCAGGCCCCGATCCGATCGGGCCCCGATTGCGCCGTCGGGCCCAAGCTGGCATCGCCTAGTTTTGCTATAGATACAGTTGCCTTCCGCATGCCAAGGGTCACCGGCGTTGAGCTATAGTAGGGTTGCGCCACGGGACGATCGGGGCCCGATTGCACCGTCGGGCCCCGATCGGGCCCCGATTGCACCGTCGGGCCCCGATCGGGCCCCGATTGCACCGTCGGGCCCCGATCGGGTCCCGATTGCGCCGTCGGGCCCCGATGGGGCCCGATTGCGCCGTCGGGCCTCGATCAGGGCGAGATTGCGCTGTCACTCGTAGCTTTGCTTTACAAGGCGGCATCCTCAGCAACACCGGCGGTAAGGATGGTCCCGGGGCGCTCCGCGAGGATTCTGGGAGTTATTTGTTCTCTTGTTCCCCAACAGCTGAAGGGTTTTACCAGGGTTCCACCAGGGTTCTACCAGGGTTCCACATGCTCTTGGGGATATCACCTGAGCTTATTTTTTTTAATTTCTATCCCTTTACGCACTCGCCAACAGGGGGATCAACCATCAATGCTTGAGTGGGTAATCCTCAGCTGGGCCTTAGATGGGTGAATTGCGACAACCTTTCTTTCACCATGATGAAACATGCCTTCCATGCCAGGCTCCGCTAGGGCCACCCCGGAAGGCCTCAGGGGTTGTTCCCCTGAACTTACCAAGGCCGTTTTAAGGCCTTGCTCAGGGAATCCATGGCGCTGGCTTGTTGTGAAGCAAACACAGGAATAAGCAAGCGTTGAGAGAGCCTATTGGGCATTGGCAACGGCGCTCTCAAGCATCCCAAACTCCCGTCGACCATTGAGCAGGTTCTCCTCCCTGGTGTCACTTTATCGCCACGTAGACCCCAAAGTCACTGGGCTTTTGGGTGCGTCTCAACTGGGTTGGCAGGTCCTGGCCAGCTACGAAAACAAGGAGGGTGCGAGACTTACGTTGCACCGTGGACTCGTCAGGGGGGAATTTTGGCGAACAGTTGCCCGAGAAGGGCCAAGAAGGTTGGAACAAGTGCGGTTTCAGCATGTAGCCAGGATTCGGCCCCAGCCAAAAGCCAATGGGCTCGACGTGAGTTGTGTGTTGTGTGTTGTGTGTTGTGTGCTGGTTGTCGGAAGGGCAAGGGCGTGTTTATGTCGGGCTTGTTAGGATCCCTCTCGCCCCAAAAAGAAGCAGGTTCAGCTTGACTGGGGATGGTCCGAAACGTCCCTGTAGGTTGGGGCATGTTCAGCGTTGGGGTTTGAGCAGGCCTCATGTTTAAGTTGCGCATGCTGGGACGGCGAAAACTCCTCAAAATGTCGGCACACTGAAGAGTGC